TCATGATGCTGAGAGGAGAGGAAGTTCGACTCAGTGACTGACTCCGCGTATCTCGGTGGACGCTTGACGCTCGTCTTATTTTAACTGGACCTAAAGCACGCTGACAGTCATGTTGCATGATTTATCGTACTTGAAAGTACAGATCCTAACTAAAAGCCTATTTTCTGCCGCTGCAAGACAAAACGGTGAGTGGTACGGCTCATCAATGCGTCTCTCAGCGTTCTCCCTGTGATTTCTGGTAGATAATCCAGTTTTAAAATTTCAGCTTTCCAATCTTCTCGGAAGTGGATTCGCCAACTTGGAGTGACCCATTCAGAATGGGGTCTTATAGGCTCAAACCGAAAACTAACGCGAATATTTGAGTGGAGATCCAGCTACGATGGGATGACTGATGGGAGATGCGCTGATGAACAGAACTCCTGTCCGCTTTGTCATGCCACGATAGAAAATCGGCGAAACACATGTTCGGGCTTTTAACTATTGTAGCACCTGTGCTGTCAGTGTGGTGAACCATGCGATCTCTGTACACTACCGAATGACAGTTGGCATTTCATGAATATCAAACAATTTTCCCCCAGAATTAATAGCTTTCGGCTCAAATACTCGTATCATTATTCCAACCGATTTTAAAAAGTTTTATCCCGAATGATTTACTAGAGGTTAATGCATTACTTTTTAGGAATATTGAAAATGTGAAACTATGATAGTCCTAACCCAATGAATACATGACAAAAACAATAATTATGTAAATTCAGTACTGCCTGGGTTTTAGTTTTGGGAAACAATTTGTCAACTCAGCCACAGACCTACCGTGATATGACTTCTAGGGCAGTACTATAATTCTATTGAACGTCATTTGCGTTATAGCAAAAAAATATTGATCGCGTTCTTCTCGTCTTCTCCGCAGAGTTAATTGAGAATTCTAAACGTAACCAGTGATAGTAAAAATTGTCTTTAATAGTTTCTGGACAAATTACAAGGACTAAGAATTGCAGCATATGAGGTAATGCCATCCTTTAGGTCGTCTCTCTGTTTACATCCCTACCACCGGATTTGGCAAGACACTGTATAGAAGAACGTCTGCAATCCTACAATACGGGTATTTCTGCATCTGCTTTGCTAAAACTCTTGGATCTATGTCTGGAAACGAATTTCACTTGCACGGGAATACTACCAACAGCTGAAGGGAGCCCTATGGAATTACCCATCTCTGGTTTTCTTAGAGAAATCCCGATGCGAAAATTAGAGTCTATCGCCTTATTTCTACTTAACCCCAAATTATGTTTACATTATGTTAATGGCATCTTTGTCATCGTTAAAAGAGATCAACTGGAAATGCTACACAGCATTATTTGCTCCACGCTTCCAGGAATCACATTCACACTCGGGAAAGAGGCTGATGGCAAACACCCGTTTCTTGATGTCCTCGTACAGACGAAGACTAACGAGACATTTAACACTTCAGTTAACCGCAAGCAAACCTATGCGGAAATTCTTTAACATTACGACAGCAATCTCCCGATCTCTCACAAACAGAGCGCCGTAAGCAGCCTCCTTCACCGATCAAAAACTCACTGTTCTGTCAACGGGACCTATTAAACAAAACTGAATTGTTTATTCAAACTGTTTTCGCAGAATGGGTATCCCTGATATTTTGTAAACCGAAGCTTAAGACAACAGGAGTTAAAAGAAAAAGACAAGTAATTAGACTGTTCCCATCAGGCGCCCAAACCAAAAAAATGGCGAAAACTTCCGTACGTTAAGAATGTGTCTGAACTATTTGAAAGACACCTGAGTAAACACCAAATACACGTGGCGCACAATCCAACGACTTTAGTTCGCTACCAGCTTCTACACCCTGGGGATAGGGTTGGCTATTTAGATAAGAAAGAAGTCGCCCATAAGCTCCCATGGACTCCTATACTATGGTTTGCTGTGGTCAAACTAAGAAATCTGCCTCTACACGCATATAAGAACATTAATTGGCAGTACAAAGGCGCGGACATTTGTCCCAGGTCGCCGTACATACGCCGGGAACAGGATACATATTTGCCTGGAACAAAACTTGCATTATAGGCGTCTGCTCATCCAAGAAGGGCCGATAATTCCTAAAGGCCATTCATTCTAATAACTCATATATCAATCGACACATCGGATTAGACGTTGTGTGCAACAATATTATGGGAAAGATTAAGATGCGTCAATCAATCAGAACATGATGTCGACCCGCTGCAAAGGCTGGCTGGCAGAAATGGCAAGGCAATATCGATTTTCAGACGTGTTTGAATTTTAACTGTTTTGTGCACTTGCTTCACATCTGAGAACAACTTGGGAAACAAAGTCGAAAATTTGTGAAATAAACTCTGGTATCTTTCCCAAAGGAGTGTTTATTTCGAAATATGTATAAATATATTTGAAAGTGGGCATCCAAGGAAGCATAATTCAAAAGATATAAGTCCTATGGGTTAAACAACACAATTTATTTCGCAACTCGGTCCACACGTCCCCCTCGGGCGTGAGGCAAGTGTGAAAAATAGTTTAAAGTTAAACATGCCTAAAGTAAGTATTGCCCTGTCACTCCTGCCAGTTAGCCTTTGTATATATATATACATATATATATGGTTCCCAAGATCGCCTCTTCTTCTCACATATATATATATGTGAGATGCGTGGAGGACGGACGACGGACAATGCAAACATGAGCAATGGCCGCGGTCACACCGACGCCGCTCTCCTCCCCACACCCGATAAAGGATGAGAAGGAGCCGATTCCGCCATGACGACAATCGCCAAACCTTGTGATGCAGCGCGCTGGAAGTCAGTGACACGCCAGTACGAAGGAAAACCCTTGAATACTGTGACGTGCAGTATGCAACCCACCTCCGATGATGGAAACTTGTCTGCTTTCGAAACTTCACGTCAATAAATCATGGTTTCTGTGATCGCCTTATCTTCTCATATATATTTATATAGATATTTAAATAACTGATCTGGTGTGCACTCCGAGATGACATAATGAAAAAGAGAAGGCTCTTCGGAAAATCTGGTTGTATTCGTAAATTTTTCAGTCGGTGACGCCGATCCGTTGTCACACGAAATGAATAGAGGAGAAAATGAGATCGTCAGACTAGGTTAGCTGGCACGGCAGGACAGACAACGACAAACAGACAACTGATGCGTGAAAAGAGTGGGCACCGAGTTGTGGTAAGCTGTGGGGCAGGGGAGGTAAGGGAGAACCGTCAGGGCTCCCTGTGTTGGAGGTGGCGGAAGAGCGGGGAATTGAGGATCAGTGGAAATGAGGACGGCTGGTCACTGATGCAGGCTGAGGTCAGGGGCAATGCGCTGGTGTTGGAGGCGTTAGGGGTTTCGGTTGTTGTTCACGGTGCCGTAAGGGGAGCGGAATGAGTAAACAGCATACATCTATGTGGCCGAGTGGGGGTTAGCATTTGTTAGGGTGTGGAAACAAGACGGTGAGTGTGTACGTAAGCCCTCGTAGTGATCGTCTAAATCGACATGGCGGTTGATGCTGGTCGCGCTGAATGTCAAGTTTCGAGGAATTCTCGCGCCTGTCTGGTGTTAGCCCTTGCGATCACTTCAGTACCGTCCCAAGTTAAGCGGTGGTCATACTTAAGGGCGTACGCAAATACGAGAGACAGAGGGTCACTTCGGCGTAGGGCTAACTTACAGTGAGTGACTTATCTCATGAAATATTGGCTGAAATTCTGAAATGTGGTTGTAATACTGCTTATCTTGCGGCATACGCTTATAACATTTCGGACTTGGCAAGATGTGGGCTTTTAAATGTACTTCTTTTCAATCTCCTGTAGAAAGCGTGCTCGGTAAAAAATGACTACTTAAGTAGAATGCATTTTTCCCATTCATTTTCGATGGTCTTGGAAATTCAAATATATTTTATAGAAATCGCAAACAAAAATATGCTTTCTTTTAGTCAATCAATAGAGAATCACGTCTTCTTTATATTTTATACTTAAGGAAGGAGTATAATAACGTTTTAAAAAAGTTTCTAATTATGAGACTTTTTAAGACCGCGAAATGTCCATTCACATAGCATCGTACCTGGCCGTTTACCACTGCTCCTCATGAAATGTACAACACAGTCCGCATCCATTGCAAAATTTTATGGACTCTGTATGATATCTCTTTAATGGCATAGAAAAATATGTGATTTTCTTTACGCGGAACGCATGCACCTTGTAGAGTGAAATCACTAAGCGCTAATGCAACGAAAGATCAGGCTCCAAGTTATTCAGCAATTAGAAAACTTTTTTAAAACCTAGTTATACTCCTTCACTCATGTTGATTTATCCTATGGACGCACAGCCCTCCGCTCAGCACGCAGATGGGAGACTTTTGCCAAACGAGAGTCATCCACCTACGCACAGCTGAAGTTCTCGCACCGTTGCCTCGAGGAGAACATCTTGCCGAAATGTCTCCGATATAGCCTGCCAGTGATGACTGACCTCTGCCAGCGGACAATGGCAGATTTTAAGAAGAAGATGATCCGAGTCTTGATACAAGACTGCCACTCTCGCATCCGTATTTACCGACGAGCGATAGAACAGCATATTTTCGCATGCCGGTCGATAGTCACCGCGCACGATCTGCAAATGCTAGAATCGACAATACTCACCAATGCACATTGCCACCGCAGGTTGCGCGACAACCAATTGCTATAGAAGTTCGAAAGAACACGTCCACAAATAAAGCCCTTTACTGACGGTGTCGTGGTTCACAACCCCTCGTCTCGTCGCCTCACACAGCAACAGCTGGAGGTTTTATCTTATGACGCTAAGTTCAACACAAGAGATGCTCGACCGGAAGATTTCATCGCATCCTTCGAGTTGGCCCTTCAGAAATGTGAAGCCAACGAGGAGTACAAAAATTCCATGCGGCAACAAGTGTCAACTCATCTCCTCCAGCACAAACCTCAAAGGGTGATTTCAGAAGCAGAAGACTGAGAACTTCTGAGAATGCGAAAGATGAGGGATATCGTCACCCTGCCCGCCGACAAGGGGCGCTCGACGGTTGTCATGGACAAGACCGAGTACGCGGCGGAACTGGAAGGTCTGTTGGAGGACGAAGTTGCCTATAGACTTTTGGCTACTGGAGAGTTCAAGAAGCACGTTAACAATGTAAACAAGGCGATAGACAAGTTAAAGAAGGCAGGAAGCGCTGACCGCAAGAGCCACCGATGCCGCCATGGCGGGCTTTTACGGGCTGCCAAAAGTGCATAAACCGGGAGTACCTCTACGCCCCATAGTCTTATTATGCGGCACCCCGACCTTTGGACTGTCGAAATGGCTTTACCAACGATTCCGTTTCCTGACCGAGGATTCCGAATGGACGGTGAAATCGGTTGAGCAGTTTTTAAGGAGTATAAGACATCAAGAAATAGTGCCAGACGAGATGCTGGTATCGTTTGATGTGGTCTCCTTATTCACCTCCATTCCAACCGATCTTGCCATCAGCACCATTGACGGGCTTCTTCAGGATAAGTACGATGAAACTGATCAACGGCTTAAACGAACGGACGTCATCGAACTCCTGGAATTGTGCCTTAGAACTTTGTTAACTTTCAAGAACCGGGTTTACGAACAAAAGAAGGGAACACCTATGGGCTCCCCGCTGTCTGGACTGATTGCCGAGGCTGTTCTGTAGAGGCTTGAGCGACTGGTTTTCCGTTCGTACTCCCAAAAATTCTGGGCCAGATACGTCGACGACACATTTGTCGTAATCAAGAGGAACGACGTTCAAGACTTCAAAGTCTTGTTGAACTCCATATTCCCTGACATCCAATTTACAATGGAAGAGGAGGACAACAACCAATTGCCCTTCCTGGACGTAAACGTCACAAGGATGGCTAATGGGGGGATCAGAACTACGGTATACCGAAAGGCAACGAATACTAGACGCATCCTCCAATTCTGAAGTAACCACCCCATTGGTCACAAACGCAGTTGTGTCAGAGCTCTTTTCCAACGAGTTCAAACACACTGTAATGACAACGACGGGAGAAGGGAGGAAGTGAAGTATCTACATTCCCTATTCACAGTCAATGGTTACCCACGATCCTTCATACGTGAGTGCCGAAGAGAATTTAACCGCGAACGACCTAACGATGAGAAGCCGAAGTTCTGGCTCGCAATCCCCTACATGAGGAATGTTTCTGAGGCGACAGAAAGAATCCTGAGCCCCTTTGGGATTGGCGTGGCCCAAAAACCAGAATCCACTATCAGGCAGCAGATAATGAGGCCCAAAGACCAGCTACCTGCAACGGAACAATCAGCAGTGGTCTACAGCATACCTTGCCAGGATTGCAGTGCAAGGTATGTTGGTGAAACGGGCAAACGCTTCTGCACAAGATTGCACGAGCACCAGCTTGCAGTCAACCGCGAGGATAAGCTGTCACTGGTATATGGCCACATACAACAGAAGCACAGTTTCGCCTTTGGGGAGGCAAGCGTCATCGGCCGAGCCAGCGACAAGATGGCCAGACTGGTTCTCGAAAGTTGGTCCTCAGTTGACACAATCAACAGAGCCATTGATCTTCATCCGGTCTACCAGGCACTTCGTACGAGGCTCCAGTCAGTGCGGACGGGGCCTACAGCACGGGCGAACAAATCGCGGCTCTCTCAACAGTTCTCACCCTCACAGCAGGGGGAGTGAGCCAGCTGGGTGTCAGACGACCGACGCGAGACATCGACCCACCGACGCGCCCAAACAGCCGACCGCGATTCCCACATGCACCGGCAGCTGATCGGTCTGTCAAATTATGGGTGGAGGGCCGACGGGCACACGAACCTAGAAGGGACAACAGCGGCCGGACAGGGGGCAGAGGTCACACCAGCGCCCCAGCGGTCGGCCACGGAGAGACCTAAGCCAATCCCCCGCCAGCAGGCAGGTCAGAATTCGTGTAGCAGGCATGCCTATAACACGAGACAGGCGGCGAGACAGAACAACTCTGAGCTAGCAGGAACAAACACCCTACCACTACTCTGATGATGGAAACGAGGAAGTTTCCGAAACGTCAGCACCAATGCAGTGTGGTCCATGGCATCTCCTCTTTTTCTTCTTCGTCTTCTTTTGGGGATGATGAACGGGATAATCTATCTGGTCCTCGAATCTTCACTCATGTCAGTATATATATATATATATATATATCAGCGAGGAGGGACGACAGAGAATGCGGGTAGATTGATACAGCACTGTTTCGGGCTTATTCTGCCTTCATTCAGCCAATCATAACCCTGACCACCAGCAGCTGAGACCAGAAACCAACCATAGAATCACTTGTTTGACACGGTTAAATAGTTAACTGTTTTTGTACATTGCCCAAAAGTCTGACGACGAGCTGGGGAACCAGACTCGAAGATTTACTCATTATAGTTTATTCCCTTCCCAAAGAATCTTACTTATTTTCAATAAAATTTCTTGGGATGCCCGTTTTCCAGCATATGTATATATGTGCCAGGTGCGTCTGTGCGCATGTTTGTGTTTCTGGTCTCAGCTGCTGGTGGTCAGGGTTATGATTGGCTGAATGAAGGCAGAATAAGCCCGAAACAGTGCTGTATCAATCTACCCGCATTCTCTGTCGTCCCTCCTCGCTGCTATTATGACTTGGCCGACTTCGGCCTGGTAATTGGTTGCCTGTTCGTGACCTTTGCCACACATACGGAGCTTGTTTGCTTTGTGAAGCCAATAGATCGGTGTGCGCCCATTCCTGATTGATATATATATATATATATATGATAGTGGGCGCTCACCGATCAGGTTACGGAACATGCTCGTTCCGTTGTGCCTTGGGGCTCATACTTAAACCCTCGCAGGCAGTCGCTCAGCTACTAGTGATATATGTTGGAAAGGTAATACCGACAAAGACAAGGGAGACCGGAATGGCCATTTCTGGCTTATTAGCCGTCATCAGCCAGTCATACCCAACCCCAAGTGTGGATCACTTGAGATTCGAACCCGGGATCTTTGGTCATGGAGTTGAACGCTCTACCATTGAGCCACGGGCCCGTTGTCCTGTCGGTTGTGATCGGGAATATTAATTATGATAGTGGGCGCTCACCGATCAGGTTACGGAACATGCTCGTTCCGTTGTGCCTTGGGGCTCATACTTAAACCCTCGCAGGCAGTCGCACAGCGACTAGTGATATATGTTGGAAAGGTAATACCGACAAAGACAAGGGAGACCGGAATGGCCATTTCTGGCTTATTAGCCGTCATCAGCCAGTCATACCCAACCCCAAGTGTGGATCACTTGAGATTCGAACCCGGGATCTTTGGTCATGGAGTTGAACGCTCTACCATTGAGCCACGGGCCCGTTGTCCTGTCGGTTGTGATCGGGAATATTAATTATGATAGTGGGCGCTCACCGATCAGGTTACGGAACATGCTCGTTCCGTTGTGCCTTGGGGCTCATACTTAAACCCTCGCAGGCAGTCGCACAGCGACTAGTGATATATGTTGGAAAGGTAATACCGACAAAGACAAGGGAGACCGGAATGGCCATTTCTGGCTTATTAGCCGTCATCAGCCAGTCATACCCAACCCCAAGTGTGGATCACTTGAGATTCGAACCCGGGATCTTTGGTCATGGAGTTGAACGCTCTACCATTGAGCCACGGGCCCGTTGTCCTGTCGGTTGTGATCGGGAATATTAATTATGATAGTGGGCGCTCACCGATCAGGTTACGGAACATGCTCGTTCCGTTGTGCCTTGGGGCTCATACTTAAACCCTCGCAGGCAGTCGCACAGCGACTAGTGATATATGTTGGAAAGGTAATACCGACAAAGACAAGGGAGACCGGAATGGCCATTTCTNAGTCATAATAGCAGCGAGGAGGGACGACAGAGAATGCGGGTAGATTGATACAGCACTGTTTCGGGCTTATTCTGCCTTCATTCAGCCAATCATAACCCTGACCACCAGCAGCTGAGACCAGAAACACAAACATGCGCACAGACGCACCTGGCGCAGTCGGTCCACCACTGAGGCCTACCAGATGGGTCATAAGCACTTCATCGAACCGAAGTTCATCAGTGCCTCGCCACCTGTCATTCTCTGTCGCTGCAGATCGGGTATTTATCAATCAGGAATGGGCGCACACCGATCTATTGGCTTCACAAAGCAAACAAGCTCCGTATGTGTGGCAAAGGTCACGAACAGGCAACCAATTACCAGGCCGAAGTCGGCCAAGTCATAATAGCAGCGAGGAGGGACGACAGAGAATGCGGGTAGATTGATACAGCACTGTTTCGGGCTTATTCTGCCTTCATTCAGCCAATCATAACCCTGACCACCAGCAGCTGAGACCAGAAACACAAACATGCGCACAGTGGTGGCCTCAGTGGTGGACCGACTGCGCCAGGTGCGTCTGTGCGCATGTTTGTGTTTCTGGTCTCAGCTGCTGGTGGTCAGGGTTATGATTGGCTGAATGAAGGCAGAATAAGCCCGAAACAGTGCTGTATCAATCTACCCGCATTCTCTGTCGTCCCTCCTCGCTGCTATATATATATATATATATATATTACAGAGGTATTCCAGCCTCACGTTTTTGACCAAGTGTTGCTCTTGTAACCTCATAAGTAAGAACATTCCACCGGTTGCCAAACCGATACAGACTTCAAGTCTGTTTTGCCCCAGCGAATGGACTCAGTGAATTTCCAGCAACAAGTAATAAGTGCCTCTGAACGTAATCAGCACGCCTAACACGCTGCAATCGTAGTATCCCCGGTGTTGTTGCAACTGGAAACATCCGACACTAGGATAGACACTGCTGGCTTTTTCGGACTAATTATTTAATAACCCTTCACTGACAGATTTTAGCGCACTGGGGATTTGAATTCAGCTCGGGTATTCATCAAACGATTTTCCGTCAAACGCTTCTCCGCGCGAGCAATGTATCTGCATTCTGTCGTTTGAAATCGATTATATACGTCTAGTCTTTAGGTCATCGCCTGTGTGGACTGAGATTCAAGATAAAATAGAAATTCCCGTCCTTGTTTTGTGCTCAGTAGAGATCAAAAAACGCTATTCCAAATACTTCACAGTTGTGCTGCTTCGACCTCTAACTCAGTCATGTGTTAACTCTTCCTGTTGCTGTCTTGTTTTACTTATCGCAAATTATACGTCCTCTATCTAGACTGAACGAGATAGCACTGGAATACGGTAACTAGTACGTGAGAATGACACTTTAACGCTTGACACAGCGGCATGCTTCGATGACGGCTTCTACCACGTAGAGGAAAAGGCAAACTTGATCAGAAACAACTGGTAAAGGTAGGACTAAGTTCGTTTTCCTTATCAATAATATTAACCATTTCACCAATCATATGCTGTTAGGCTGTCTCAAAGTTGTACTTGAAAAACCAAAACATATTTAAATGTCCAGCCCCTTTTATAGAAAGATTTTTAACGAACAAACGTTAGCGTGCCGGCCTATGCACGCGCAAGCTGAAATCTGCTGCCACTCCACCCATGTGCCCCCAGTTCAGGGTGCAGGTCGCTAAGTGGACGGCAGGGAGGTGGGCGCGCGTATACGTACGTACACCCCGGGTGAGCAAACCAGCTCTCATTCATACGCGCAACCAGAGACCACAAATCCCAATCTGGATTTTTGGGCGAGCTCGAAGGCGTGTGATGAAGAACGACCCACTAACTCACGGACAGACAAGTGTTCTGGAAGCAACAAGGGCAGCAGAAGATTTTTCAACGGAAATGTCTGTCAGTAGTCGTCCCCATATCCCTCTTTCTCTCTCGACCTCATGAAATGGCGCCCTTGGGTGCTTACTGTCATTGAATCCACGACATTTGAAAAAGGGAAGTCTGGAAGGAACTAGTGCTGAGGAGGTAACACAGGCAGTAGTGATCCAGAAAACTTGGCTACCATTACGCAGTGAGCACGGCAAATCCGATAAGAGGAGGATGGCGGAATATCCAGTTCCCACAGGCGAACAAGAGTGTAGAGGAAACTAGCCTTCGGCATGTTTGATTTTCTGTTACAGCTACTCTTCTCTCATTTCAATTCCTCTGTCTTTTTAGGAACATGAATGTAAGTAGGCAGTCTCAGCAGAAGTAAAGTATAGGAAAAAGCCTACAACCTGTACCCCACGTGAAGGATGAGCAAATTAACCGCTTATCAGTTCGCCATTCTTAGTGTCTTGTCTCTGGTTAGTATTCTTCGTTAGCTAAAAAATTGCCAAAGGTGATCTAATGTTTTCTTTGCGATTTTTCTCGGCTTTTTTGGCATTCCAGGAAAATCGAACACATTTATAGTAATCAACTTAGCTATACCGATAACAAAAAAGGCAGCTGTCTTTTTAGAACGCAGACTCTGTTAGGTTCTCAAGACCTTCCTCTGGTGACGAATAACGCTAAAGTTTGTTACTGTAAGACGGTTCTCTATACAGTCCTTCATTATACTGCCTCAACAGGTACAAGAGGATATGCTCTGCAAAATTGTCGCTGTTCGATCTAAAGTCCAACAACTACTTTCGAGGTATAAAAGTGGTCAGTTTTCTTCATAGGGCCAAATTTAAGCATGGCGGGTCATTGGAATATAGGCGCCTTAGCCCTCACAAATTATTTTGATTGACGTCCTGTAACGGTTTTAGAAAAATAAACCCGAAAGACTAAAAAAGCTGAAAACTGCCCTGCAC